CTAGACCAGAAGGGACAGAAAAGCTATGTGGTTCTTTCTGAACTATGAACCCAAGCTCATAGGTTTATCTCACAGCTCCTTAGGGCAGTCATTTCATCCTTCTCCATCCTCAGGACTTTCAAGAATGAGGTGCTTGCTTCCTGCCCCGCCCCCACCCATCCAGCTGCTAAATCAGGGATAAAAATGAAAGTTTCCTGGAGTTTCAGGCCAGAAACTCAGTTGTATTCTGTTTAGAAAAGCCAATTACTCTCCCTGGATTTCAGTTTCCTGTCTGAATTAAGCATCTCCAAACTGAGACCACATTAAATACGTCTGTACCAATTATGTACCTTCCCCCTTCTCCCCCAACTCTAAGTAGCTAGTAATTGCTATTCATGCCTGGTGGAAGGGAGGGTTTTATCTAGGGCAGTTAGTCCAAAAAACAAGAATTCCAGTAGGTAGGGAAGTGTGACTGTTTGATCAAGAAACTATATTGCCCTGGTGAATGTCACTGAAAACTACTTATAGGGCAGTGTCACAAACCACAAGGCAGAAGCTTCCCATATTTGAAGCTTTGTTCAGGCTGCTGGCACAGTCTTTACTTTGGACACTGCCTAGAAAGCATGTATCCTCAGATGAGAAGGACCCCAGAAGATTCCACAATGCTCTCATTAACCCTCCTTTCTCTACCAACTTTATGGAAAAATCAATGTGATTTTAAAGCTGTCTTTTCCTATTAAGATGGAATGAAAGACCAGATGCAGTGGCTCACGCCTGCAACCTCAACATTTTGAGAGGTTATTTTGAGGTGGGAGAATTGCTTGAGCCCAGGAGTTTAAGACCAGTCTGGGCGATATAGTGAGACACACATGCCTGCTACATGGGAGGTGGGAAGATCTCCCTGAGTCCAGGATGTTGAGGCTGCAGTAAACCATGATTGTGCCACTCACTGCACTCCAGTTTGGGTGACAGTGAGACCCCAACTCAAAAAAAAGAAAGATGTAACTGAAATAACTAATCAATGGGCACCAAACTTGTGGCTTTCAGTCCATCAACAAACAGAAGAGGATCATATCTTGACTCAGAGTTATGATCCATGAATATTCACTCCACAAACTTTCATGGCTTCACATCATACCAGGCCATATTCTAGCCAGTCTAGAAAGAGACCAGTTATCAGTTAACTCCCCTCCCTATCTCCAGTCTTTTTCTCTGGATGACATGGGTCCTCAAGGTATCTTTACTTTTTTGTGGGGGGGGGGGGGTGCCCACACCTCATCAGCAAGGGTACCTGCATAATGACCATTTGTATACCTGACCCTAAATTGTACTCCACATTTTAAAAAAAAGGTATCTTTACTTTTCATACTCATCCCTTCAGCCCACCAACTATATACTAGAAAACTAACCAGACAGCTAAGTTCCTCCCTTCAAAGAGGTTGGTTAGGAGGGTATAAGCACATGAATAACTAGACAGGAGGTCAGTAAGCAGAGATGCAATTTACAAACCAGGTGGGAAAGATCCTCTATATACCCCACACCCAAACCCAACAGTCCTAACATAGTCCCTGACTGAAGTTGCTCTTGCCACTCTCGCTTTCAGATAAAAAACAGGCATGTGACTCCAGCACAATTTCAGCAGTTTGTTTCAGTATTTAAAATTTTTTTCTCCTAACCCCACTTGGATCCTTGGTCAAATTTGGGCTTTTTTTTCCCCCTTTTCTTTTTGACTTCACATCTTCTAATACAGCATTTTAGCCAGAAAACCAATTAAAACATATTTTGGTTTTGAGGAACTATGGACAAGCAGGAAAATTTTCTTATTTCCAATTTTCTACAAAGTTTGGGAGTTTGGGATTGAGCCACAGGAAACTTGAGTTAAGCTAAAACTCTAAAGTGGTCATAGATATTTTAGAATTCTTGGCGAAATCTCAGAAAACAGCTGACAGTTTAGCTTGTCTCCAGCTTTCCCTGTGTAACTGTTTCTCAAGCAGGGATGATTTTGTCTCTCAGGGTACATTGGGCAATGTCTGGAGACATTTTTGGTTGTTAGAACTGAGGTGCAACTGGCTTCTACGGAGTAGAGGTCAGGAAAACTGCTGTATATCCTATAAGGCACAGGTCAGACCTCCTAGAACAAGTTATTATCCTGCTAAAAATATCCCCACAGTTCTGAGATTGAGAAACCCTGATTTAAGGATATGCCATCTACTCCCTAGCCCCAGAGATGGGGAGATTTCTAGATTTAAAGACCTGTGGTTGATTAAAAGGGTTGTTATAAAAATATTTTTGCTTTATGGTTTTCTCTCTCTTTTTGGTTAAGAGTGTGTTCTTTCTCCCCCTCATCTACTCTTGGGGGGCATACTAAATTATTTGGGAGGGAACACCAGAACAGTAGTCAACAGGGTGTTGGGACCCTAATAACCCCAACCTTGAAAGGGAAAAACATGTTCTCAAATTGCCTTTTCCAGCCGGGTGTGGTGGCTCACACCTATAATCCCAGCACTTTGGGAGGCCCAAAGTGAGAGGACTGCCTGAGCCCAAGGGTTTGAGACCAGCCTGGGCAACTTGGCGAGACCTCATCACTACAATATATCAAAAAAATTAGCTGGGCCTCGTGGCGTGTGCCTGTAGTCCCAGCTACTTGGAAGGCTGAGGCTGTGGTGGCCATGAGCATGCCACTGCACTCTCGCCTGGGTGACAGAGGCTCCAACTCAAAAGAAAATTGCTTTTTCCTCTTCCTCTTTACTCCCTCCCTCCTGGCAGATGCTATCTTAGGACAATTACTCTACTCACTAGCCAACCCCAACCCCAAGGAACCAAAGAACGGGAAGTTTTGTTAAAGATTTCTTATTCTCTGCTTCAGGAACTTTCTTCACCCAGTAAACAATTCTTGGTAGGGTTCCGGGACCACCCCAAGCCCCAGGAGCATAAAGACAGAACTACCAAGTAAAGGCTCGGAAATTGTGCTCTTTGTCTAGAGTTGGGAGAGCTGGGGATTAGGCAAACAAATTCTTGGTTCTATCCCAGGATCAGTTCCCTCCTGGACATTCCAAGACCCTAAAGACCAGAGTATGTTCAGTCTAGTCCAGCTGAACCAGCATGGTGCAGTCTCCAGTACCTAAGCCTGCATTCCTCTATGTCATCCAATAGTTTTCCAGTTGCTCAGGAACCTAAAGTTAAGCCTGCTAAGGCACAAATCCCCATTTGCTCAGAAAAGCCTTCTTGGGTTATGCATATCACCAAGGAACCCAAGACAGAGGATGTATTCCCCTCAGCCCCTCCGTACTTGGCAGTGTTTGGAAGAGAGATGAGAAAATAAATGTTGGATCTGACTCTTTTATTCCAGCCTCCCAAAGTTGGGGAAGCTGTCCAGTCTCCAGACCAGGAAAGATTTTAATCTCTTTGTGATCAGATAAATGGGAGAGTGGGGGAGGCTTGCCACCCCGCTGAGGAGGGCCATTCAAAGCTGGTTCCTGTAATAAAGTGATTTAATAGATCTAAAGAGGCCAATTCCCTTCTTTCTCCCACAATTACTTCCTGTGGGTTATCATTCACATATGTAAATGAGACAGGGAGGGGGGACAAAGCCACCAGTCTGAAACTGGCAGTCTAATGGGGTGGGGGAGACCTGGGTGTTGTAAGGAGGTAGCTAAGCATCCTGCTGCAGGTCCTCTTGGCAGATGTTCAAGTAGTCCAGTGACTCCATGGCCCCAACAGAGATGGTCCCCATCTCCCTGCATCATCTATCTCCCTTGTTCACCCCACTCAACCTTCTCACCAAAGGCTGTGCTCAGAGCCTTCCAACCAGTCCACCCAGCATCTCCCTTCCCTTCCCCTCCCCCCAAGAATGCCATCCCTCAGGCTCAAACCCTTAATCCCCACATCCTTTCCCCTCCCCCACACCTCCTAAAGCCAACCTCTCTTTAGTAACCCCTCCCTGTCCGGCCTGGGTGTCAACCTACAAGCCCCTGGATTAGCTATTTCTTCTTTCCAGGTCCAGCCCCAAACCTCTAAGGTGGAAGGGACACAGGGAACAAGCAACTTCCTCTACATGGCCTTTATGGGTAGCTGGTGGCCCAGGAGTGCCGGAATGCCTCTAGGATATTCAGGAAGGGGAAGCCAGGGAAGGGAGGCGGGAGACCTGAAGTCTCTGGCTCCTTGTCCGAGGCCAGGAATGTTAGCACAGCAATCAATGGCTGTCTGGGGCCATAAATGCCAAGCTGAGAATAGGTCCAGAGGCCAGCCTTCCTCCACCCCCTGCCCCACGACACTGAATTTCACCCCCTACCGTGCTACCCTGCTTTAACTGAGAACTTGGGGTTGCCACACTTCCCTCCCAGCCTGACCCAGGAAAGAAGGCCCGGGCTCCCTAGGTTTTCTTTGCGAGTAGGAATTGGACAGCCAAGGGCCACGTCCTGAACTGTGATGTATCTTCTAAAAGGACTTTCAAGCCCTCAAATGGATCCTTCACGGATCTGCCAAACCTACTCAAGCCCCAGGCCTGAGTCTGGGGCGACCACCTGGGTGAAGTCTGCGTTAAAAAGGGGATGCGGCTGACTTCCCAGCTTTGCGCCCTTTCGATCGGGTAGCCAGTTCCCCTCTCTCTCCCGCCCTCTGAGCTCCATTCAGACGTTAAAAGCGCTGGGCGCCCGGCTCAGGCCCGGCATGTGCTTTCCCTGGCCGGCCTGCTCGCCCTCCCCCCACTGGCAAGCACAATACAACCTTAGTTTCTGCCACATGGGGTCACCTCCCTGCCCCCTGCCCCTTCCCAGGGGAAAGAGGTAATAGACACGTGGTAAGCCGGAGGGGTTCCCGGAAGGGGGGGTACCGCTAATTGGTGCTGCCTCCCACTCTTAGTGGTTACCACGGACTCAGGGTTGGGGTGCCACAGCAACGATGGAGACGCACAACGAGCGCCCCTGGTCCCTCTCAATTCAGCAGCCGAGCCCGGCCGCCCACCCGTGGAGGTGCGCTCCTAGATGCCCTCCCCCCAGCAGCGTTACCGGAATCAGTCTCACCTGGTGCACAAAGACGTCCACCGGGGGGTCGAGCGCGACCCCGGCGCGGGCGGTCATGGACAGGAAGCCAAACCCCATGCGCACGTTGAACCATTTACAGATGCCGGCACCGTGCAGCAGCTGCGGCTCGTCTGCCGCCCGGGCCGTGTCCTCCGGCGCCTCCTCGGGCGCCTCCTCCGCCGCCTTGGTGCAGCCACCTGGAGATAGGGAGGGCCGGGCACTCAGTTGGGGGCCACAGAATCGGTGGACCCTCCCGGCGACCGGACAGGAAGACCCGCGGGTCCAGCCCCACAAGTGGACGCCCAGGAGGAGGCAGCTACCAGGCAGCCGGCAAGAAGAAACCTGTCCCGGCCACCTCCCGCGCTCCCCAAGATTACACCGAGGACAGCGGTGCCCCGAAAGTTTTACTCCTCTTCGCATAACACGTTTCCCGGGGTTACGCGGCCAGACAGACCCCTCTCCTTGTGTCCCCCGCCCCCGTAGCCTCAGCGCGCACGCCACTGGGACACCAGGGTTCCTTGCTCTAGAGATGGTCCCACGAACCAGGAGGCCGCACCTACTTGTGGTCCTTCGGGCGGCCCAGGGGTCACTTCCCCACCTCCCTTCCATATGGTTCCCGGCCGCCCCTGCATCCTAAGGTGTCCCCGCTAAGTCCCGAGCTCGAACCTGCAAACTGCTGGTTGGACACGGAGCCCATGGTCGTCGGCTGAGCCCGCGGCCCCGGGCCCCTGGTCGGGCGGCTGCTGGCCCCAGAGAAGTCCGGAGGCAAAGGGGTGGTTCGGGGAAGAGGCTGCTACATCTTCCCCCGCACAATAGCGGTGGGAGGGCCCACAGCTTTTCAAAGGCTCCCAAATTCTAAAAGACAATGACCCAACCCCCCGCGGGCAGCCCCCTCCCCTCCCCTCCCTCTCTTTTCCCCTCCCTTTCCCTCCGGCTCCAGCTCCTGCCCTCCCCCACTGCTCCGGTCTCTGACACCTCTGGGGTGTCCCTTCTCAGAACCTAGAGGTTTGACACCCCCTCCCCACATACACATCTGGAGATGGGGGCCTGATGCCCTTAAAGTCTTGGGGACCCCGGAATTTGGGATCCTGCACTTTAAGGACTCAGTAGGGGTCTCCAAAGCAGATACAGGTGGGGGGCCTGAGGGGGGGTAGTTTTAAAAGCCACGTGACTGCTCCCACACACACTCACACACCACCCCCACCCCCCGTGCAGATAATTATACATTCCAGAGAGTTGGGGGAGGGAGGTGTGAGCCTGGCGGCGCTGGCCAATCAGAAACACAAACCACCTGTCAGGGGAGAAATGGATGGGCCCTCCCCCTCCCCCAGCCCTTGAG